TTTTTTTTTTTTTTTTTTTTTTTTTGCAACAGGCCCTTGTGCAAGACCTCTATCCTGGTGGTGGTAAGAGTGAACTGACCTGCTCGTTGAATGCGTACAATTCGAGTTTTCGCATTGTATGTTCATCCATATTCGAAGGCGACGAAGTGGGAGAGCCTGGAGGAGCTGATAAGAAACCCGAGAAAAGCCTGCCCGTGGGAGCCTTTAGCTCATCGAGTTATGAGCGTCTTTGAAAAAAAGGGCCGAAGGCTAAGTAAGCCTTACTTCGAGAAATCGTGCCTCAACAGAAATTGTGGGGGATTACAGAGTTCACTGGTTTAAAAGCTAATCCCTTTGCCCAAAAAAAAAAAAAAAAAAAAAAAAAAGCTTTTGGGGCTTGGCAGTCGCAGTGGTCGCGCTTCTCATCACTGATGCGATTGCTGAAAATCTCGCTTACTACAGAGTCCTGACTACCTAGGCTGTGTAAACACAGGCCTGCCCTGAAGCAAGACAGGAGTGGAAGACTGAGTGTGGAGTACGTGGTTTGTGTGCTTGATGGGTAGTACGGTAGTACCCTACTCGGCCTTCATTTATTTACCCTGAAAGCTTTTCGGGGTGCTGCACGTGATCTGGAAGCTACCGTCTCCCCTGTTCAACTGTGTATGCATCACATGAGAATTCTGTGAATGAATAACTACAACACTTAAAATTAATGTGTGCACTGTGCAGTGGGGCGTCTGTTCATCAGCACGACCGGCATGTATGCTGTTTCAGTACCTTTCCCCGCTTGGAAAACAAAAAATTATGCGGCTCATATACAGCCGCCGCAACTTTCGGGAAGTACCGGGGTGGCGTTTCGCTGGATATCCATCCAGGCAAAAAGAGGGCCCTCGCGTGCAACCCATTTTGCCTGGTTGAGTATCCAACGAAGTGGTGCCCCGGCCCCCAGTACTTTCTGAGAGTCACAGCTGTATACGTTCCCCGACTCTGAAAAAATAGCTCGGAAGCATACCCGGTTTAAGGTTTCATGGGGTCACATACACTCTGTGACGTAGCGGCTCCATCTGACATTACGACCTTCGGGATTAACGGCTCATTCTGAAGTACTTACTCAGGAATAACGGCACTACCTGTGGGAAGAGTGTGGTACCTGTGGGAGTTACGGCTCCTTCTGAAGTCATGACGAGGATCTTGTGGGAATATTACAGTGCCATTGGGACAGTTTGGTTGAAAGCTGCATGTGCACTATGAAGTACTATCACAGAACCCCATTCTCGCACGGAAAGTGTTTTGTGCGACTACTGTGGTCTGATGCTGCTGTATCGTATCAGCAATCCAATTTTGAATCGTGATTGTAAATTAGCGGCTTAGATTGACCCGATCCTTCACGCTTCGGATACAGTAGTGGTATAGGCCTCAAAAGGGAGCACCCACGACCGCTTTGGTACAAGGCTTATCACCCCCATGGAAGGTCGTAAGCCCCCTCCTTGCCATCGGACACGGGTACCCACGGTCCACCTGCTAACTTTGCTATCTGTGTGGGTGCACAATGTCTGCAGGTCAGAGGATTTGAGCCTGCAACCTAAACCACAATGCGCCGTCAGATGAATCTGCAAGAGCAACAGGTCAGTGCTGATAGGTTAGGAAAACTACAAGGAAGGATTGTCCCTCCTAGCAGCGAAGATCCTGAAAAAAAATGGTTGTTTTTCGTCGACTGGCATAATGATGACGACGACGATGCTGCTGCTGCTGATGATGACAACGACCTTTTCGCTGAATTTTTTTGCACCGAAACTGTCGGCGAAAACCGCAAATTTCCGGGCCTCCGTTAACCCGCTTGTCCGATGACGACGATGATGCCAGATGATGACAATGACGATGACAACAACAAAAGGCAACGAGTACATGCAAACCTCTAGACTTGGGAAACGGCAACTGCTGGCGAGACTGTGAACAGTTGCACGTCGTCTTTGGCTGCAGATCTCACAAGGTAGGTGAAGGTCCACCCATGGCAAGCTCCGGCATGACGTCCTTTTCTGTCGACAGCAAAAATTGCCCCAACAAACTTGGGGTACTTCCTCCGAATCCTTGCAATAGCGTCCTCAGCGGCTGCCTTCGGTTCCATTCCCCTTCGCATGCTCTCGACCACTTGATAGCTGCGCGTGAGCAAAAGTTGCGCGGACAATTTGCCAACCAAGTCAATGTCGTTGAAAACTGTTCAATGCATGCTTGTTGTCAGTAACGCCTTGAACTACCGTCTTCAGCTGAATAGGACGCCCGGTATTATCGCTGCATCTGGACTCAAAGTTGGGCCAAATGCAGCTAGAATGACCGGGCGTTCTATTCGGGTGAAGACGGTAGGCTACCAGCCGGGCTGCCCGGGTCACCTTGTTTGCCCGGCCGGCCTGGCCGTGCAAGAAGGACCAAAGAAGGTCCCAGAAAAAAAAAAAAAAAAAAAAAAAAAAAAGTTATGCATCATGGTCACATCGAAAATTATTTACCAAATTTAAAGTAGAAAAAAGACTCGATATATATGTAGGGTCCAGCCTCCTGATGAGTCGGTGAAACTCCGACGAAACAGTTTGTCACATCCCCTCCCTCGTTTGTTGTTGTCCTCTTCTCCATCTCTGCCTACGGTTTACCGGGCAGCTCTGTTTGACGGTATATAATTTTTTTTTTTTTTTTTTTTTTGGCCCGGCCAGGCAAGTGGTCCCACGCCACTCTGGTAGCCTAGGCCTTGAATATATAAACCTTTGGGTTGCGCAGCAGATTCTGCTTTCATTTCATTTCACCAACAATGTCACTCCGGTTGCAAGTTTTTTTTTTTTTCTCTTTTTTCCCCCCCCTCCATCTGTTTAGATAAATTGAGACACATTTGAGATGACACCAGCAGAAGCATGAGTGAGTGGGGTTGAGTAAAAGCTATGACTCAAGACCTCTGCAAAATGAGGTCGTCAACTCCTTTACAAGTACTCAGGAGCTGAGCGGAGCATACAAGTACTCAGCCTACTAGCACGCGCTGCTCCCCATGAATAGATTGGAGGGGGAATTTGGAGCTTTTCTCTGCCCCCCCCCCCCCCCCCCCCCCCCCCCCCCCCCCCCCCCAAAAAAAAAAAAAAAAAAAAAAAAAGAAGGTACTCAAACTAACTCAGGGCCAAGGGCGGAGTACAAGAGTTGGCTGCAACAAGAATCCTTGGGCGATAAGTGGGAGTGTGTGCGGAAGTGGTGTGTGTGCGATACCGCACATCATGGTAGGAAGAACTCATCCAACCAACCAATGCTCCAAAAGGAGTACTCGATACAGCACAGAAACAAAACACATTGCAGTAGTTGCAAACTGTTTCGACGGACTTGCACCCACTCATCAGGAGGGTGAACCCTTGACTGGCTGCAGAATCCCCATATTGATACTTGTTTTAAGTAGGTTGACCGCTGTTGCGCGTGGACAGCCAGGCAGGTGACAGCATAAGCAGAAAGGTAGTGGCAAGGAAACAGGGCATTGGCCAGGGAGCAACAGCAGAGCAAATAGGCCCTGGAGGGCGCAGGGGTGAGAACTTAGAAGCCAAACAACAAGGCAAGCAGCAGGGAAGCATGCATGATAAGCAGCAGGCCACAAGGCAGCAATGAAAGCAACGAAGCAGCGAGGCAACACGGCAGCAAAGGAGCCAAACAGTGAGGCAATAAGGCAGCAAAGGAACAAAACAGTGAGGCAACAATGCAGCAAAGCAACAAGGCAACAAAGCAACAAGAGAGCAAAGGAACAGGAAAGCAAAGCAACCGGGCAGCGAGGCAAGAATGCAGCACGACGGGGACCAGATGCGCAGCCAGGCAGCGAAGCAGAACACAGCGCAAGCACAAGGGCAACCAACCAGTGGGGCAGCGCCCACAACGCAAGCAGAAGGTCACCCACACAGCAAGGCGGCACTGACAGGGCAACCCATTCATACAGCATGGCCATAAGTACTTCCCTGAGAATCAAACTTGGCTTGGTTTTCACGGAATGGAATGAAATAGCGAGACAATTGGGTTTTGTTACACGTGCTGCTCCCCACGAATAGACTGGAGCATTTGTTTGGGAAAAAAAAAAAAAAAAAAAAAAAAAAGGGTTTTGTAACTTTTGTTACTTTTATATGACTCTTACATGTCCAAGGCCACCAAGTGGAAGCAGCGCCCGTTCAATCTCTTTCGATTAAGTTGAATGAAAAAGAGTTGCAAACACGAAGTGGTCCGTTCCACCAAGACTCCATTCGATGGTGACCTAATTTACTGGACTAAAGCAGAATGTGGCTTATGTACACCACAAGTAGAATGATACAGATTGTATGTTCACACCACTATAGGAGACAGGGAGTCATTTCAACAAATGTATGTCATGACACGCCGTTTCCCCTAATAGAGTTGCAGGCACTCCAGACAAACAGGCACTGACTATTTGGCACATCTTAAAGGCTTTCGGGGAAGTTTCGGCACATCTTAAAGGCTTTCACTTGAACACAGAGAAGAAGCACAGGAAAACAGCAGAGAATGCACAAAGTGACAATCGTGAGGAAATACGCAGACTGCGACGAAGAACAGGGAATATATAATATATATACATATAGATGATTGTGTGGGGGGGAGGGCGAAGGCCAGATGGCCCACGTCCAGGGACGCTAGGCCGTTCGGTCCCATGCCCCATGGACACCGCACACACATACAGACAAGCAAACGCACCAGATTCAGGAGCATCCATGCAAGCCACAGATACATTGATCATTTCATATCATAAGAGCTACAATAGTGAAGTCCATAATCAATCCTACCGTAGTCATAACATTCGGGAACAGCCGCATCATTGGTTGGATCACTTTGTTCAGTCTCTGCTCATGTATAACCCCAAGAGATTGACCGTATGTCCCCATGTGTGTACCCGCTCATATAATACCATATCTACTTCACGATACACATGTTTCAAGCGTAACCAGCCCACCCCTATTCGCTCTGTATCCCCTTTGCTATGCAGGGCAGTGTTGCATACCTCGACGGTCGGCGCCTCTTGACTGGTCGGCACCTACCGGTTGGGGGTCGTCGGCACCCCGCAATTTTTATTTATTTACTTATTTATTTGTTTTTAATAAACGCAGGGCCTTATGGTCCTGGCTCCTTCTATTCTGGGAAGCGTCAGTCCGGTTCCTATTCCACCGGCAAGTCAGAAGAGACATTACATTGCAGCAGAAAGTCACGCTTCCTCCCGTTTGGTCGGAGGACCCCTGAACAGCATTGATTGCTCCACCAATGGTGAAGGATTGACTGTCAGCTTGCCGTGACTCCCTCTTTCCTCTCAGACCTGAAAAAACACCAGCTCTGCCAGATAGTGCTGTGTCATCTAGAAAGAGCTCGCCCATTATTTCTATATGCCTGTGCTCTCCCCCTCATCGGCCCTGCCCGTAAGTCGCTGTATCCCCTAAACCATTTAACCTTCTCCCTTCTTTTGAGGTCTACTAAACCCTAAACCCTAAGCCCTGCCCCTCACTTGGAAGTATTATTTTTAAAATCTCTCCTCCCTTGCTCTCGCCTTCCATTGGCGTAACTCCACAGACCCCGACTGTATCTCCCCGAATGTGGTCGTATGAGTCCGAAGCTTTCTCTTTAGAGTTCTGATCCGGAGGTGCTTTGCTCGTGCGCTGCACTCTACTGCCCAGCGTTTCTTCCTGAGCTAGAGTTGTGCCAGTCCTTCCAACAGATGCGATCGTCCCACAACTCAACAACTTTCCCATCTATCAACCATGCCCTGCTGAAGCTCCGTCTAGCCTTCCTTTGCTGCTCTTCATCCTCCGACCAAGATAATTCTGCCTGTATCATTACTTTCGTCTCCGTCCAGATCAGCTCTCGTGAGCTGGAGATACCTTCAATCGTTCTGCTGCATCTTTCCTTCCATATGACCCATAGGGTCACCTTCCTTATGAGTCCATACCAAATCCTTTCCGCTTTCCGGGGCTGTTCAGGGATGTTAATCAGAAGGAGAAGTTGGATGGGGTGTTCAGGGAAAGGGGTTGAGAAAAGGGAGTCCCAGAGGGTCGAGGCTCTCGCCCAGTAATCCGTCGCACCCCGCAATTTTTTATGATTATTATTATTATTTTTTCTGGGAGTCCATAACCCCCAATAACCCCACCAACACCCCCATACCCACCTCCAACACCCCCATACCCACCCCCAAC